GTTTTTAATGTCCTAGAAATGTGTGTATTTGTTTTATGGATTCCGTTTGTTTCCTATGTTGGGATTCCATCATGTTCCTCAGCTCCTCTATTTTTTTATCTGTGTCCTTTCTAGATTTATTAATCATGTCTTGCACTATGGGCAACAGAAATTTACTTCTCATAACCCTAGAGTTAGTCCAAGCTCAATTTCCCAGCAGGTTTGGTGGCTGGTGTGGGCACTCACTTTCTGGCTCATAGATGGCACCAACTTCTGTGTCCTCATCACATGGTAGAAGGGATTGAGGAGTCTTTCTTGGGCCTCTTTTATAAGAATACTAAACCACTCTGCACCCTATGACCTAATCATCTCCCAAGGCTGCACTTCCTCGTACCAACACCTGGGGCATTCTGATGTCAGCATAGGGGAGTTTGGGGAACACACAAACATTCAGACCATTGCAACTAGTACAGTTGCTACTCAGCTGAAATGTAAAGTAGGGCAAGTTATGTTTTCAAAGAAGGAAAAAAGGAAAGAAGGAAGGAAGGAAGGCAGGAAGGGTGATGGTGTGTCTTTGTACCTGTGATGTAGGCAGAGTAACATGAAGGTGTGAGCTGCCTGGAACGTTGGGGACTAAGGGAATCAGGTTACTACTTGCTCAGTACTTGATAGTCAGAAAGCTATTTAATCTCTGTGAGACTAATAAAACCTCCCATTTTACCTGCAAATTAGACTGGATGTGAACATTCTTTTTATTATTTATTAATGTATTTGTATCAACACACGTATTATTGAAGCTGATACTAAGAAACTTTATTACTGATTTTAGTTCTAAATTTGCATACCAGAATGATAAAATTATGGAATACTGGGGCATTGATGGCTTTAAAATCCCCCTTTGGCAGGTAATTGGGCACAAAATGATTCATAATGGGTTATTAGGGCAACAAGAGATGCTACTAAGTTCTGAAAGAGTTAATAAGCTTTTTGTAAAACCTCATATACTCAAAAGGAGCAGAGAGTCCTGTGATTTTTCATAGGTAACTGTAAATTCCTACTGTTCTCTTACTCTAGTTTTGTTCATACTGAAATGTGTAGATTAAGCAGCTTTATGTTTATTTTCATCATGTTAATTTTGTATCAGACAATTTGAACTTGTTTAAGCAAAACACTGATTTAATTGATCTGTTTGTCATTTCTCCTTTTTCTAGGCAATGGGCCTCACCACGATCGTTGCTGTACTTACAATGAAAACAACTTGGTGGATGGTGTTTACTGTCTCCCAATAGGACACTGGATTGAGGCCACTGGGCACACGAATGAGATGAAGCACACAACAGACTTCTATTTTAATATTGCAGGCCACCAAGCCATGCATTATTCAAGGTAAAAATAGCGCCATGTTTATTAACCTAACAGTAGCATAAGAGGTAGCATTGGGACAATGGATATATGTACTCCGTGGAAAACTGCAGAGTCTTTCTTTGGAGGGGTCTGGAGTCCTGCAATGCTTTCAGGAGATGAATTACAATGAATCTGTGTTTGAGCCCTTCTGATCTAGATGGGATTCTTTTCTCATACAATTCTTTTATTAGATAGATATGCTGTGTTGACATATTTGATAGGACAGTAGATAACCAATCTCTGTACTGATGTAATGGATTAAAAATAAGAACTGCACTGAAGTATTCTAGGTCATCATCATTTGTGTCCTTTATGCTACTGATCAACAGTGAAACAAAACTTGATGTCTCTTTATAAAATCTTGTTCAGATAACTGTGCAAAATGAGACATACAACTTGATTTGATGTGATTGTTTCAGTTTATTATTTATGAATACTTTTGTAAATTTGTTAATTTACTTATTATAATGGCAATATATGCCATAGTAAAAATTCAAACACCAAAGAGAATGTTAAATAAGAAGTAAGGCTCACTATACTTTCTTCTATTTGTACTTATCAGAGATTATTATTTTAAAATACTTTAGGTTTTCTGGAATCTGAAATAAGATACATATACTTTATTTGTTAATGTATTCATTTAAAGATAGCTACTGATTCCTATTACATGTGAGAACTTTAATTCTCTGATACTTATACTTTCTCCCCACTCTGATCGCTACCAAAAATTTCTGTTGTTATTTACATTCTTAAAAGTTCTAATCCATCAAAATTGTGATCCATCAATTTTTGAAAATGGCTATGATTTCCTATTTTGTAAGGGTGGGGAGTTTTCCTCCTATATTTCCTTCCATATTTATGACTATCAATTGACCTCTGTTTTTTTTTATTACTTTTTTATTTTCAAAGTTTACAGAATTTACATTTCATTTACTAAATATCTTTCATGATTTGATGATTTTAAACTTAAAACCAATCTCCAACATTTAAAATATTGTGTAAGTTTTATTTGCTGCAGAACACACTGGGTTTACAAGAGGTTGCATTCTCATATCCTTAAATGATGAGAACTATAATTAATATAGAGTGTGAGTTAGGGGAGAGAAAAGTGGAACTTCATCCTTGTGTTAATGAATTGCTGTTCTTTTTGGACATACTTTTCTTACAAATTCCTGTTCGATGCTAGTCTGGCTGATGAATTGGATGCACATGAGGAAGAAAAGAGTTAAATATGATTTATGGTTTTATGATCGGAGCAGTGAAGTAAATAGTATTGCTGCCTACTTGGATAGGGATGACTGCAAGAAGAGAAATTTGTAATATGGAGTGGGATAAAAATTCTATTTTGGTCATATATTAGAAATTCTGTTAGATTACAGAAAGGAGATCAGTTTGATACCAGTAATTTGGGGGAGAAGTTGAAAATGGGGTTATAAAACTTGGAGTTACCCAAATACAGATGACATTCCAAGTGATGAGCCCACTTGATATCATTTGGCAAATGAAGCATAGAAGAGAAAAGAGAAGAAGCAAAATATTGAGCCACTGGGTCCACACAGTTTAGAAATCAAGGAAAAGCCCAGTATCCAGAGAAAGTAAACAGAATGAGGACATGCTGGGATATTCTGATTTTTAGTGTATGTATATTTATGAGTTGTTTTTTATTTTTCCTGAATCACATTTATGGAACCTTTTTATCTGGAGTCAGGTCTAGGCCTCTTGAGACTTCCTGCCATGTGAGTCTTCTTTTCCTTCACTGCCTTTGATCTTTCTCATTAAAGATACTTCTCAGATGGATGGTGAACCTGTTGGATTTATACTCTAGTCTTAATCTTTCCCTTACATTTTTTATATACTGATTTTATTGCTTTATATTTTGGGAAACATCTTCATTTTTTCTAATTAAACTACTGAATTTTCTCTTTACTTCGGTAATTTCATTCTTAATCTTCATAAGTTCATACTTACTCTAGTATTCTCTTTGGCATATATTTTTTATGTCCTAATGTATTTCACCCATTTAACATATAATTTAATGATCTTTTGTGATTGTCCTGCCACAGCCTCCCAGCATGCTGGCTCTATTTAGTGCTTGGCTCTATTTAATGATCTTTAACACATTCGCAAGGTTGTGTAAGCATCACCATCTAATTCCAGAACATTCTGTCATACAAACAGAAGCCCTGACCCATAGCAGTCACCTGTCCTCTCCCCCGCCTGACACCCCCGAGTCCACTTCCTGTCTTTGGGTTTGCCTGTCCTGGGTGTTTCCTGTCCATGGAGCCCACGCTGTGTCCTACCTGTCTGGCATCTCTCACTGAGCATGTCCTCCTCAAGGTCCCTCCATGCTGTCTTTGGCATATATTTTTGTTCTAGTTTATGAATGGATATATTCAAGAATCACAGATTATTCATAAGAATTGCTTTAAAGATCGCTTCTCATAGTGGAATGGTCATGTTTCCTCTAGAATCCCTTGTTCTTTATTTATTCAGGTCTTTCTCTTTTCTGTTGGTTTTTAAAGAACTGTTTTTTTAGTTGTTTGTATTTATTCTATGAAAGGCTAAGTTGATTATTACACGTGGATAGCATGAGTTTCCTCTACCATTATTGGCTTAGTCCATGCCTCTCACTGCAGACTATGTATGCGTATGAGTAGATCTTGCCTCCTTCAGCAGATCGCCTGGGCACTCTTGCTTCACACTGAATGGAAAGGTAAGGAGGAATCTTGTTGTGGTGCCCTCTTACTCTGAGGGTGCTTGCTCCGCCAAGTACTTTAATTTTTAAAGAATGTATTTCTTCAGCTTCCTGTACAATATCAAAACTGTATGTGAGAAGTGAAGGAATTATAGTTCAGGTATTCAACCATGCAGGAAAGGTTGTATTTATTTTCTTTAACGTAACTAGGTTTTAGATTCAAGTCTCTATTCTACTGAGTTCTCAGGTAATGCAACCTGTTGTTATATATAATATCAAGTAAAATGTATTTATAATATATACTGCATTAATATAATAAATATACAATCAGCTCTCCATTTATATGAGATCTGCAGCTATGGATTCGACCAACTATGGATAAAAAAATTGTGTCCATACTGAATATGGACAGATTTTTTTCCTTGCCATCATTCCCTAGACAATACAGTATAACAACTATTTTCATGGCATTAACATTGTATTAGGTATTATAAATAATCTAGAAATAATTCAAAGTATCCTGGAGGATGTGTATAAGTTATAGGAAAATACTACACAATTTTATACAAAGGACTTGAGAATCTACAGATTTTGGCATGTGCTGGTGATCCTTGAGCAAATTCCTCATAGGTACAGAGGGATGTATTTATACTTAGGTGTAATATATATGTAATGTATTTTATATATGGATATTAATATATGTGTATCCACACATATACCTATATACATGTATGTGTGGGATAGATCTCAGATCCATCAGTTTTAGACTTTATAATTGTTTGTTGTTCCTTTCTCTGTTGATCTTTACAGTGCAGATAATTCGAAACTTGGTAATAAATAACAATTCTTTACTCTGAACCTGATCCCATATCTTTCCTTTTAAGGAGTCCTATAACTCTCCAGTGTTTCTCATAGTTAAGTCTCGAAACAGACAGAAATGAATTGAGTGGTCTAAGTTTTAAAAATACAGATTTGTGTTCTTCATCAAATCTTTGGAACCTTTATTTTCAATAATCCATAGGATACTTATGCATACAAATGTTTGAGAACTACTGCAATTGGTTCAATAAAGACAGTTTAAAATTAATAAGGAATAGTTTAAGTATTTTCAGTCATTTTAGTCTAACTCTTCTTAAATATTCCAGTGACAGGGACCCTCACTTGAATTTGGAAATGATAAAAATATTTATTCAATTTAAAAGAAAAGAGTTGAACAGACATTCATATATTTCATTAGTAAATTAAAACACTTAATTGCTATCTGCTTGTCATGTTCATCTAACTAATGTAAGAATTTATTCTGGCTGCTAAAATAGATATACACATGCTAGGTTATATGTTTCAGCATATATCACAGTAGAGATATTAAAACTCACATAAGAATTTATAGGCACAAACTATAACACTTAGTTTGAAGATAGGAAAGGAATTATACCACAAATTCTTTTATGGTTGGAATAAATCATATTGGATTTAAATTGTCAATGTCCTTCAAAATGTTAACACTTTTAAGAATGCAGCTATGTAACAATTAAATTTTATGTACTAGGGTATATGGTAAATTTAATCATTCATCAAGAATTACATGGATTACTTATGTAGTCCATATTGAATGTTGGACAATGGACCTTGCTTTCAAGGAGCTCATGCTGTAGTGGAAGGCAAGCATATAAACTGTGTCATTCTGTGAAGTAATTGCTGTAATGAAGTTTTATATACAGTGTAATGAGGGACAGAAGTTTTTAGTGCAAAGAAATCTTTATGGGGAAGTGGAACATTGGGGAGCAGTGAGGATTTTTTCCAGGTGGACATTTAGGAAAGAGAAGTCAATGTAAAGAGAATAGTAAGTGCAAATGTACAGAAGCATGAGAGAACAATATTGGGTTGATCAAAATGCTTTTCCCAAATGAGATACTTTTGAGAGTAAAAAAGGGGATTTTTTTTTATATTAAGCTTGGACAATATGTATAAAATTGAGTTAGACCAGGCACACTAGGACACAGGACATCTTACAAAATATGTCATTTACAAGAGAGCATTCTGTTATCCCTCAAAATTCAGATTTGGAGATTTAAAAAATAATGTATCCTGTCATATTCAGACTATACACAATACCAGGTACTCCTTCTTCAGTAGAACTTCTTCATGCAAAAAAAGAATTTGCCTTAAATATACATATAACTAAGTAAATGAGACATTAGTGGTAAAGGATTGTTGTTTCTGTTTCTTGAAAAGGTTTATTGCCAACTTAACACATTTCAAGAGACATAAATTAGACTTAAGGAAC